TCTACTCATGGAGGTCAGAGCCACTTACACGAAGCGCTGCAACCTGCTCCCAAGATATGCATTTCCACTAGGCCAGAACCCCTGAGAATCATCACAACAGGCACCTCCCTGAGATGAGCAGAATCTATTCCTTCTCACCAAGTCCAATGACCATTGAATGCTGTGAAGTTTCAGCTCTAGGGGAAGTAGGATTTAGCTTTATTCTTCTTTTATTCTTAAGGTTTTTTTTATTTTTATTTTTGATTTATTTTCCAATTCTTCTTTCTTGATTTTTATTATTAAATTTTTCTCATATTTTCATTTTCATTTTTATTTTTAGATATATATATTTATTTCTTCTATTTTTACTTTATTTTATTTTACATTTATTTTTATTTATTTTGTGACCTAAATTCATTTTAGAAGCAGATTAAATGAAACCCACGATCTTCATTTCTTGACTTCTTTACCCCTTTTTTTTATTTTCTGAAAAAAAAAATGAAAATATGGAAAAGTTTACCCCAGAGGAATGAATAGGAATTAAATCTCATGGCCAGGCTTTTAATCAATACAAATGTAAGTATGATGTCTGAACTAGACCTTAAAACAATGATTTTTAGCATACAAAGTGGGCTTAAAAAATGGATAGAAGACACTAGAGAATCCCTTACTGCAATGATAAATGAATTAAATTGAATCAGGCCCAAATTACAACAACTACAACAACAACAACAAAACCCCACAAAAAACTAAATCCGAGATGCAATCCCAAGTGGAGATCATAAAAAATGAGGATGGATGAAGGAGAGGAACGAATTCAAGGTATACAAGATAAAATTCTAGAAAATGAGTGAAAAGAAGAAGGAAACCAAGGTTTTGGGCTATGAACGTAGACTTAGTGAATTCAGTGACTTATTAAACATAATAACATTTGTATCGTAAGAGTCACAGAAGATGAAGAGAGATAAAAAGGGGGATTAGTTTCATTCCATAAAATAATAGCCAAAAAGTTCTCTAATATGCAGAAGGACACAGACATCAAAATCCAAGTAGTACAGAGACTCCTATTAAATTCAACAAAAGCTGACTATCTCCAAGGCATATTGTAGTCAAACTCACAAAATACAGCACAGACAAGTAAAGATTCTGGCAGGAGCAAGGGAACAAAGGTGCTTAACCTCAGGGCTTTCAGTAAAGCACAACTCTGTGAAGTGATGATCAGACTCAAATCTCACAGTCATCACATCCACATCTTGTGGAAGACTTAAAAAACAGCATCCTTAAATTAAAGTTCCACATACTCTAGGAAACCCTGACTCCCTTGTACCAGGTTTCTCCCTCTGTGTGTCCACTGTGTCCTTTCACAGAATCCTAGGAGAGTCCTGGTTAGTCCTATCTGCAGGAGGGAACATGTGAGAAATCCACCCTGGAACCTCACTAAAGGAAATTACCAGGTACTTTTCCCAACAAATGCAGCAGGGAAACGCCAGAGCATCAGTGCTTGGGTTCATGTGTCACTAATGTCTCAGTCTGTTCCAGCTGCTGTAACAATGTACATGGAATGGGT